CCCCAAAACCCCAAAACCCCAAAACCCCACCAGGATTCATTTGAGCATCTCATAAAATAATAATATTTTGGAAAGATAAGTTATTTATAAAATTTTATTTCTAAAATGATCAATGCAATTAGGAGGGTGAGTATATTTTAACTTCCAGAGGATTATAAGTCAAAGAGCAATTACGAAAATGAAGAGGATGAAAAAAAACAAAATGATAAAAAGAAATACATACTTATTAATACCTCTCCAGATAAACCCTTTAATAAAAAGGCTACTCTAAAAAAGTAGAATGTTCAATCAAAAGTAAGAGTTCAATTTAGAATATTATTTTTCCCCAGACTGTGCGCTTATAATTATATAGTTATTTGATGATTAAGGAAAACTCAAATATGAAAATTTAAAATTTGATAGAGATGAACTATTTAGAAAAGTACCAGTATTTGAAGTGCCAACTATGAATTTTAGCCGTCTAGATCAAGATGAAGACGATGAAGAACCTAATGATAGCAAAGTCAGACTCATCACTAAAGGAGACCGAGTAAGTGTTATTCACAAAGGCTGCTCATGGGTACATCTAAAGGATCTCATTCTAAATGCAAACAATAGTAACAGTCAGGCTTTAGAATATCTCAAAGAATATCGTGAGGACTAGAACTATTAGAATCTCAAGAAACCTAACCTTCCATTTTACTTCATTTAGAGGAAAAATATGCTGAAGTTGAAGAAGTATATCATGAAGCACAGAGATGTATTCCAAAATATTACACAGAAAAGCGTTTTAGGTTATGATCTGTAGTAGATAATTAAGGATTTCAATTTATCAGAGGAGCTGGGAGATTTTAGGCGAAGCACTAGCTTAAGGAATTCAAAAGTAAGCCCTCGACGCAAGTTAACTCTCTTTCATATCAAGGATTTGAAGCATCATCATTAAAGGTATTATTCATGTTTACAATTCTTAAACTATTATTAGAAATAATTCTTCAAGTTTCTCCTAATCTGAAAATCCTGATGAAATTCCATTGAATCTTAAAAGCTTTTTGATAAAGCCAAGTAGCATAAATAATTAAACTTACAGGGACAAACTTATTAAAGCTATCGAAAATATGGAAAAGTAAACTGAGATAAGGGAATCTCATTTCAAAACAAGTTGCAAGATTCAAAGTCCAACTCCATTAAGAGATAACAGTCAACTTTCATCTACTATGAATAGTAAAAGATTAAAGAGGAATTTGAAATTTATTCATGATTCCCCTCTTTCATAATTGATACAGTTTAGAGAACAATCTCAGACAATGAATAAAAAGAAGGAAAAGTTGGAACAAGACCTCTTATCAAATAGTGAAAATATGCAAGTCTTATCAACAAGAAGTGATGTAAAGACTTAATTTAAAAGTTAAATGAGGCCTCCATTGCTAGATAACATGTTAAGGATCTAGAATAATAATCTAATGGATATGATTAAGAGTAAAAATAATAAACATAGAATGCAACCCAACTTGTTTTTACCTCTGGAAATTAAAAAGTAAGCTTTCATTAGAAAGCCCTAGTACATTATCAATACATATCATACATCAAACACATCTATGGACTTCAGATCTCAGGACTTATCAAAACGCGATGTTTAGATATTCAGTGATAAGAGTTTTTCTAATTGGAATGAAAATAGTAGTAAGAATTAATTAAAGACAAGAAACATGATATTGTCTGAGAAATCATAAAAATTTAGTAATCAACTTAAGCCTTTAGATGTAAGTAGGAGTCGTAGTGTCATTAACAATACATTCTTAAACAGAATAAACACTGATAGTAACAAGAACCTTTGATAAATGGACATATTTAGCATATGCCTCTGGCTGTTTCATTATCTAGTTATTTAATCCATCCTATTTGATTGAATCTTGGCAGCATGGGGTTTTGGGGTTTTGGGGTTTTGGGG